GAGCACTGGGAGAGGCACTGGAGTGGATACTGGGGGTACTGGGAGCACTGGGAGCCGGCCCTCATTCGAGCTGAAAGCCCAGTTCAACCAGAGGCTGGAGGTACTGGGATTAACTGGGAATACTGGGAGAGGGACTGGGATTAACTGGGAGCACTGGAAGAGGGACTGGGATCAACTGGGAGCACTGGGAGAGGGACTGGGATTAACTGGGAGCACTGGGAGCCGGCCCTACTTGGAGCTGAAAGCCCAGTTCAACCAGAGGCTGGAGGTACTGGGAGCACTGGGAGGGACTGGGAGGGACTGGGATTAACTGGGAATACTGGGAGAGGGACTGGGATTAACTGGGAGCACTGGGAGAGGGACTGGGATTAACTGGGATTAACTGGGAGCACTGGGAAAGGGATTAAAGAGCACTGGGAGCACTGGGAGCACTGGGAAAGGGACTGGGAATGCTGAGAGGGAAGGGTTTGATCAGAACTGGTGGGACTGGGATGAACTGGGATGGACTGGGATGGACTGGGATGGACTGGGATGAACTGGGATAAACTATGATAGGCACTGGGATGGACTGGGATAGGCACTGGGAGGGACTGGGAGCACTGGGAGAGGGATTTGGGTGGATACTGGGATTAACTGGGAGCACTGGGAGCCGGCCCTACTTGGAGCTGAAAGCCCAGTTCAACCAGAGGCTGGAGGTACTGGGATGGACTGGGAGGGACTGGGAGGGACAGGAAGAGGGACTGGGATTAACTGGGAGCACTGGGAGAGGGACTGGGAGGGACTGGGAATACTGGGAGAGGGACTGGGATTAACTGGGAATACTGGGAGAGGGACTGGGAATGCTGAGAGGGAAGGGTTTGATCAGAACTGGTGGGACTGGGAGGGACTGGGATGGACTGGGATGAACTGGGATGAACTGGGATAAACTATGATAGGCACTGGGATGGACTGGGATGAACTGGGAGGGACTGGGAGATTCAGATCCTGAATTTTCCCATCAATTTTTTGGGATTGCCAGGAATTTTTAGGGAATTAAACTCAATTTTTAGGGATTTTTGGGAATAAAAATTCCCAGATTTTTATGGGATACAAGAAAATTTTGGGAATTCCTTGGAATTCTTCAGAATTCCTTGGAATTTTCAGGGAATAAACCGAATTTTTAATGGATTTTAGCTGAATTTTAATGGATTTTCATCCAATTTTTTTACCAAATTTTTATGGAATGGAACAAAATTTTAGGAATTCTCTGGAACTTTTAGGAATTCCTTGGAATTCTTCAGATTTCCTTGGAATTCTTCAGAATTTCTCGAAATTTTTAGGGAATAAACCGAATTTTTTATGGATTTTAACTGAATTTTAATGGATTTTCATCCAATTTTTTTACCAAATTTTTATGGAATGGAAGAAAACTTTAGGAATTCTTTGGAACTTTTAGGAATTCCTTGGAATTCTTCAGAATTCCTTGGAATTTTCCGGAATTCCTCCAAATTTTTAGGGAGGAAACCGAATTTTTAGGGATTTTAACTGAATTTTAATGGATTTCCATCAAATTTTTTTACCAAACTTTTATGGAATAGAAGAAGATTTTGGGAATTCCTTGGAATTCTTCAGATTTCCTCGGAATTCTTCGGAATTCCTCCAAATTTTTAGGGAATAAACCGAATTTTCAGGGGAATAAACCAAATTTTTCCCCCATTTTTCGCCCGATTCTCAACGGATTTTCCCCAAAATTTCACCGATTCCCGCCCAAAATTCCAACATTTTTCCCCACCCCTGGGAATTCCCGAATTCCCTTTTTTTTTTCCCCTTTCCCAGGAGCACAAATCCCGCGTGAATTCCTTGGAATCTTCCGTCTCCCAAGCCAAGCTCCGCTATTCCGTCGCCCTCCGGAACCTGGAGCAGATCAGCGAGGAAATCCACGCCCGCCGATTCCAGAGAATCCTCCGGAAAAAACACCGGGAAAACCCCCTGGGAGCCGAGGGGGGATCCCAAAACCCCGAAATCCCGGGAATTCCCGCCAGGACGGGCGGGGAAAACCCCGAAATCCCGGGAATTCCCGCCAGGACAGGCGGGGAAAACCCCGAAATCCCGGGAATTCCCGCCAGGACGGGCGGGGAAAACCCCGGAACCCCGGGAATTCCCGGAATTCCGGCGGGAATTTCCGCCTCCGGGGATTCCCTGTCGGTGCTCAGCCTCCAAACCATCGCCTCGGACCTGCAGAAATTCGACTCCGTGGAACATTTGGCGGGAATTCCCGGGATTTCGGGAATTCCGGATGCGCTCAGCCTGCAGGGGGAGGAGTTGGGGGAGGGGAGGGAGAGGAGGAGGAATTTCCGGCACCATCGGAGCGTCAGCCTCTGATTTTTTTTTTTTGGGAATTTTTTGGGGGTTTTTTTGGGAATTCTAGGATTTTTTTGGGAATTTTAGGATTTTTTTTGGAATTTTAGGATTTTTTTGGGAATTTTAGGATTTTTTTTGGGAATTTTAGGATTTTTCGGGGATTTTTTTTAGGGTTTTTTTGGGATTTTGGGGGGATTTTTGGGGGTTTTTTGGTGTTTTTTGGGAATTTTTGGGGTTTTTTGGGAATTTTAGGATTTTTTGGGGAATTTTAGGATTTTTTTTGGAATTTTAGGATTTTTCGGGGATTTTTTTTAGGGTTTTTTTGGGATTTTTTTTGAGGTTTTTTGGGATTTTGGGGGGATTTTTGGGGGTTTTTTGGTGTTTTTTGGGAATTTTTGGGGTTTTTTGGGAATTTTTGGGGTTTTTTGGGAATTTTAGGATTTTTTTGGGAATTTTAGGATTTTTTTTGGGAATTTTAGGATTTTTCGGGGATTTTTTTTAGGGTTTTTTTGGGATTTTTTTTGAGGTTTTTTGGGATTTTGGGGGGATTTTGGGGGGTTTTTTGGGGTTTTTTGGGAATTTTTGGGGTTTTTTGGGAATTTTAGGATTTTTTTGGGAATTTTAGGATTTTTTTGGGGAATTTTAGGATTTTTTTGGGATTTTTAGGGGATTTTTTTAAGGGATTTTTTGGTGTTTTTTGGGATTTTTTTTGAGATTTTTTGGGTTTTTTTGGTGTTTTTTTGGGAATTTTAGGATTTTTTGGGAATTTTAGGATTTTTTTGGAATTTTAGGATTTTTTTGGGAATTTTAGGATTTTTGGGGGATTTTTGGGGGATTTTTTTTAGGGTTTTTTTGGTGTTTTTTGGTGTTTGTTGGGATTTTTTTTGAGGTTTTTTGGGATTTTGGGGGGATTTTTTTGATTTTTTTGGTGTTTTGGGGATTTTTGGGGTTTTTGGGGGGATTTTTGGGGAATTTTAGGATTTTTTGGGGATTTTTTTTAGGGTTTTTTTGGTGTTTTGGGGGATTTTTTTCGAGGTTTTTTGGGATTTTGGGGGTTTTTTGGGAATTTTGGGATTTTTGGGAATAAATCTTGGGAATTTGGGGCCTAAATCCCGGGAATTTGGGGTTTTTGGGAATAAATCCCGGGAATTTGGGGGTTTTGGGAATAAATCCTGGGAATTTGGGTTTTTTTGGGAATAAATCTCGGGAATTTGGGAATAAATCCTGGGAATTTGGGGCTAAATCCTGGGAATTTGGGATTTTTGGGGCTAAATCCTGGGAATTTGGGTGATAAATCCCGGGAATTTTGGGAATTTTGGGAATTCTGGGATTTGAGGGCGGGGCTGTGATGAGAACCTCCCCCCCCCGGGTTCGAGGCAGCCCCGGGAATTCCCATGGAATTTTTTTTCCAGCTCCTTCACATCCCAAAAAAAAAATCCCCCCCCCAAAAAAAAAAATTCCCCAGCTGGAATTCCAAGAAATCCAAAAAAACTTCAGGAATTTGGGGGGGAAAAAAAAAAAAAAATCCCGGAAAAGTCTGGATATCAATAAAATTCCTTCTTGTTGTAAATTCCTTCTTTTCCCATCCCGACATTCCCGACTTTTTTCTCCTCATCCAGGAATTTTTTTGGGAATTTTTTGGGTTTTTTCCCCATTTTTTTTAGGGATTTTCCGGAGTTTTTATCCCAATTTTTTTTTTCTCGATTTTATCTCGATCCCGAATATTTTTTACTTTGGGAAAAGCCAAAAAAATCCTGGAAAATTCCTTGAAAAAAGTGGGAAAAGCCAAAAAAAAAAAATGGGAATGACGCACATGACCCCTCAAATAAAATTAAATGGGAAAATCTTGAGGGAAAAAATGGAAAAAACAAAAAAAAAAGGGAAAATCCACGGAAAAAATATGGAAAACCTCAGGAAAAGCTCAAAAAAAATGGGAAAAAACCAAAAAAATGGGAAAATCCACCAAAAAAACAGGAAAACCTCAGGAAAAGCCAAAAAAATGGGAAAAAAACCCTGAAAAAAAACAGGAAAAGACCAAAAAAAAAGGGAAAGCCCCCAAAAAATGGAAAAAAAACCCCCAAAAAATGGGAAAAAAACCCCAAAAATGGGAAAATCCACCAAAAAAACAGGAAAACCTCAGGAAAAGCCAAAAAAATGGGAAAAAAACCCTGAAAAAAACCAGGAAAAGACCAAAAAAAAGGGAAAAGCCCCAAAAAATGGGGAAAAAAACCCCAAAAATGGGAAAAAACCCCAAAACTTGGGAAAAATAACAAAAAAAAAGCCCCAAAAAATGGGGAAAAAAACCCCAAAAATGGGAAAAAACCCCAAAACTTGGGAAAAATAACAAAAAATGGGGAAAAAGCCCTGAAAAAAACAGGAAAAGACAAAAAAAAATGGGCAAAGCCCCAAAAAAATGGGAAAAAAACTCCCAAAAATGGGAAAATCCACAAAAAAAATGGAAAACCTCAGGAAAAGCCAAAAAAAATGGGGAAAAAACCCCAAAAATGGGAAAAATCCTTGAAAAAAAAAACAGGAAAAGACAAAAAAAATGGGAAAAGCCCCCAAAAAATGGGAAAAAAAACTCCCAAAAATGGGAAAATCCACCAAAAAAACTGGAAAACCTCAGGAAAAGCCAAAAAACTGGGAAAAAACCCCAAAAAGTGGGAAAAAACCCCAAAAAATGGGAAAAATCCCTGAAAAAAAACAGGAAAAGACAAAAAAAAATGGGAAAAGCCCCAAAAAATGGGGAAAAAACCCCCAAAAATGGGAAAAACCCCCAAAAATGCGAAAATCCACAAGAAAAACTGGAAAACCTCAGGAAAAGCCAAAAAAAAATCCCCAAAATGGGAAAAATACAAAAAAATGGGAAAAAATCCCTGAGAAAAACCAGGAAAAGACAAAAAATTGGGAAAACTCCCAAAAAAAAAGGGAAAAAAGCCCCAAAAAATTGGGAAAATCCACAAAAAAAATCAGGAAAACCTCAGGAAAAGCCAAAAAAATGGGAAAAAAATCCCCAAAAATGGGGAAAAAACCCCCAAAAAATGGGAAAAAATCCCTGAAAAAAACCAGGAAAACTCAAAAAAATTGGGAAAACCCCAAAAAATGGGAAAAAAATCCCCCAAAATGGGAAAAAATCCCTGAAAAAAACCAGGAAAACACAAAAAAATTGGGAAAACCCCAAAAAAAACCAGGAAAAAAACCCCCAAAAAATGGGAATATCCCCCCAAAACCCGGATTTGGATCCCGTTTTCCATGAAAAAAAAAAAACCAACTCCAGGCAGAGAAAATCTGGGAATTTCTGATTTATTTCTACTCGTGGAAAAGGGCGAATTCCGGAAAAATTCCGGAATTTTTCCTGGGAAAAAAAAAATTCGGCTTCGCCTCGACCTCGAAAAATCGAGAATTTCTGGGATTTCTCCCGTTTTTCCCAGAATTTTGGGATAATTTTATTGTTTTTATTCCTCAATTTTTCGATATTCCAACCCCCACTTTTCCTTCTTTTCGCTGTTTTCCGGAATTTTTCCATATTTTTCATTTTTTTCCATCGTTTTTCAACATTTCCCCAATATTTTCCCACGTTTTTCCATATTTTTCCCATTTTTCCATCATTTTTCCATATTTTTCCCATTTTTCCATCATTTTTCCATATTTTCCCCATTTTTCCATCATTTTTTCCAATATTTTTTTCCACATTTTTCCACATTTTTCCATATTCTCCCACCTTTTCCCATTTTCCCACATTTTCCCATATTTTTTCCTCATTTTCCCACATTTTCCCATAATTTTTCCATTTTCTTTCCACAATTTTCCAATATTTTTCCATTTTTTTCCACATTTTTCCCCATTTTTCCCACATTTTCCCACATTTTTCCATCATTTTTTCTGCATTTTCCCACTTTTTCCACATTTCCCACATTTTCCATATTTTTCCATATTTTTCCCACACTTTTCCACATTTTTCCGTATTTATTCCACATTTTCCCACATTTTTCCATCATTTTTTCCATATTTATTCCACATTTTTCCATATTTTTCTATATTTTTTCCCAATTTTCCCACATTTTCCCAAATTTCCCACATTTTCCACATTTTTCCATCATTTTTCCATAATTTTTCCATAATTTTTCCACATTTTTCCCCCATTTTCCCACATTTTTCCATCATTTATTCCACATTTTCCCACTTTTCCCACATTTCCCACATTTTCCATATTTTTCCACATTTTTTCCATATTTTTCCCACACTTTTCCACATTTTTCCGTATTTATTCCACATTTTCCCACATTTTTCCATCATTTTTTCCATATTTATTCCACATTTTTCCATATTTTTCTCTATTTTTTCCCAAATTTCCCACATTTTCCCAAATTTCCCACATTTTCCCACATTTTTCCACATTTCCCACATTTTTCCATCGTTTTTCCATCATTTTTCCATATTTATTCCACATTTTTCCATCATTTTTCCATATTTTTACCATTTTCCCACATTTTTCCCACATTTTTCCATCATTTTTTCATAATTTTCCACATTTTTTCCACATTTTCCCACATTTTTCCATCATTTTTTCCATATTTATTCCACGTTTTTCCATATTTTTCTATATTTTTCCCAATTTTCCCACATTTTCCCAAATTTCCCACATTTTCCCACATTTTTCCACATTTTCCCACATTTTTCCATCATTTTTCCATAATTTTCCACATTTTTTCCACATTTTCCCACATTTTTCCATCATTTTTTCCACATTTTCCCACTTTTTCCACATTTCCCACATTTTCTATATTTTTCCATATTTTTTCCATATTTTTCCATATTTATTCCACATTTTCCCTATAATTTTCCATCATTTTTTCCATATTTATTCCACATTTTTCCATATTTTTCTCTATTTTTTCCCAAATTTCCCACATTTTCCCAAATTTCCCACATTTTCCACATTTTTCCATCATTTTTTCATCTTTATTCCACATTTTTCCATCATTTTTCCATAATTTTCCACATTTTTTCCACATTTTCCCACATTTTTCCATCATTTATTCCACATTCCACATTTTCCCACATTTTTCCATCATT